TGATTGTTAAAGGTGTGGGGAGAGACTTCGCATGGGATCTTATTTCCGTTTGACTTTGCACGAGATTCGCTGCCCCTGTCGACAACCTCATGCACAACGAAATTTCGCCGCGCGCGACAAATTGCGATTGTCTTGTCCGTCTTCCCAGGTTCGCGCTTGTTGAAATTTAGAAGATTACGTGCTATATGACATGGTTAATGACGAGAAAACCTGTATTGTACCATTGTCGGTGACGTCAGTGACTCGTCATCCACCAGTCTTAAAGGCGCTGTACACAAAAAGCAACCTTGGCGAATTCGGCGCATGCGCGAAAAGGTTTTGATACGTATCGACAGGGAGAATCGGCGAACTGAATAGACTCCGCGCTTCCACTGACTCCGCCCAAATTATGAATGGGAGAACTGGTGAAGCTGGCGTTTCACCCGACCACTTCGCCGGTTCTACCGATCGATATATATCTAACTCTTGTCGCGCGTTCGCCAGGTACCCCGCACGGTGCGCTTAGTCTCCCCATCATTATGTATCAAAAACTTTTCGCAGCTGCGCTTCTTTCGCCGATTCCGCACGGCCACAAAAAAGCTTACCGGGCAATATACTGGACCGCGAACCCGGGCTAAATCAGCGCCTGAACACCTGCTGGGGCAGAGTATTTCAGTGAGTATTCGAGCGGAATTTTCGAATTCACACGATTCAGAGGGAGTTACAACATGCTATCACTGCTTCGGGATTCACCACACAACAAAGCAATGATCACAGTGAACTTAGCAAATATCAAGATGAAAAAATGAAGAAAGTAGTTATCATGCACCTTCCTCTTCCGGCTGCTGCTGCACTTGTAGATATGGCTGATCTTCTTGGTCATCGGACGATTCATGACTCGTGGAACGGTGTACTACAAACTACACCACAATCACAACACCAATGTAAGCACCTATCACATCCATCATTACCATGTAATGATTGAAGGGCGCAGTTCGGGAGTTCCAAGTCGCAGCATCGCGCACATGCACTTTGGAGTCAAGACAGAACACGGGATCTTACGTCGTACGAGGCATACCATTCATTTCAAGGTCCCAATTCGGAAAATCCGAAAATCGCAGAATTGACCCCCCTCGTTTGAGCCTCGAGAAGCACATTCATTAATCATCTATTTTCGGTGCTATTTCAGCTCGTGGTGGTTACAGGGCCATCGTAGGGCCTTGATTATATACATGCAAGGACAATATATCCCATTTACAGTAAGTTAGATCGCGTTGATGTAGTAGAGTTGGGGAATAGGGGGTAGGGTACGTAGGACACATAGCAGCGCCTCCTCCTCCTTTTCCCGGTGTCTTTTTCCCACGAATGCTCAAGCTTTGAGAAAGCTATGTCTTCCCTGGACCGGACGGAGGGTAGGATAGGTATACATAACGCACTTGGAAAAGGAAAGAGCAATCTCAACGACCGCAAACAATTTTTCCTGAAACAGTGGAATACGGCGCTGTTTGCGAGGGGGGGGGAAGGGGGAGGGCATTTTGTACTGTCATTGCTTCCTCAGTTCGGTTTACGTGTCTCACTCTGGCGAAACCTGTGAACTCTTGTGAAGCTGGAACAAGGGGGTATGTGTCAAGAGGATCGTAATTCGCTCGCGCTGCTGGGCGTCGCGTGCGACGTCATCGTCTGCAAGGGGCAAAGGGATGGTTCATATATCCGCAGAAGGCGACAACATGCAATTAAGGACCGAAAACAGTAATGACTGTCTACGATGACGGGGTCTACATGAAGTCCGGTGCTCCATTCGACAGGTTAAAACGAGTTATGAAAACGCCGCGCCCATCGCCGCGCGTGGCGGTGCGGCGAATTACGATCCTCTTTACCGTCTCCCGACAAAGGTAAGTCAATGTTCCATACATGTTAAAACCCTGTTCAAGTTGAGGAGAAGGCTGTCCAGAATAGGCCTGACAACGGAGTCCGATGGGCAAGGTAGCAAAAGTGGCAAAGCGTCCCCGCCCCCCTTCGTAAACTACGCCCGCCCCCCTCCCTCGCAGCCATTAAAACACAACGCTCTCGTTGAAGAGCCCCAAATTACGTGCTCTGGCACTACCCTTCGGACAGAAGGGCGCTGCGGAGTGTCCCCTCAAGTACGCTGACGCTTCATAGGCGTCGCATGATGTAGTTGTAGCGACTTCCCCAAGTTTTTTCCCGTCAAAAGCCGCGTGCTGACCGGCGGACGAAGCCTGTTTGAATACCACCCGGTTTCAGAAAAAAGGAATAGCGCACTCAAATCAAGTCCATCACGATCCTCAAACCTTGGAAAAGATCAAAACAATCCTTGCAGAGTTTTTGAAACAAGGCCGTAAGCTAAATGGTCCAGGACCCAGGCTCCTATAACCTATTCGGTATGACGCCCTGACGCTGTGTCGCATCAACTATCCAGGCGTACTAATTGGCGTGGGCGCGATGTCGCGTCGGAATCGGAGCTCCAGAACTGCACATAGAATAGGTGGAATATTAAAATTCTTCGTTTACGCTCATTTGCATGAAGAGTAACCAAAATATCGGCGCGCCTTCAGTAAGTACAGAAGGGATCACATTACTTTGCGAACACGAGGGAAGCAGTACAATCATGCAATGCAGTTCTTGAAATAGGTTCAATGCTCTGTTTCTTTCAAGCATTTTCGGCGCGAATGAACTTACCTTATCTCCACACAGTCCAAGATCGCTCAGACACTTCAGGACCATTTTCTCGGGTTTCCCAGAGGAAAATGTCTTGACGAGAAGCTTGATCGGGATTTTCCTGCGATCGTTTACACTCAGCGTCAGCCATTTCCAGCTGGAAGCAGATATCATGTTCAGCGAAATATGACGTCCTTGCTCAATCTAACATATTCATATTCTGCTCAGAACATTAGAGCAAAATATCGGAACTACTCGATATCTTAGATAGCGTTCATACTTCGCGACTCGAGCGAATTGTAGTAAGCGCTAACTTACGAGTGGACCGCTAGTTGCTGGGGTAAAGTCAATTAAATTCCACACTGGCTGTAACAAAATTAGCAGCTGCAGCGGTCCAACGACTAGCGATGGAGCACGGTCATTCGCACGCGCTCAATTATCAAATAGCGCGAGAATAGCAGGCAGTGACGAAGAATGAACGCAACCTCAACCAAATGCTGTCAGGATTTAATATATAGTTTGCTGGCGTGGTTCGTACTTCGTAAACGTGAAGAACCGCCATCGCAGACAAGGTAAAACTCTTGCATTGATCAGGATATCCCGATTCGGAAAATGCGCGGCAAAGATTCAGATGGAAATCAACCACTCTTGCCCATCTTTCAGCGAATCCATGTGTCTAGAGCCCGCGGTTTTTCACGAGTGGGCCGAGTCAATCGAGGGCCATCTTGGCCGAGCCCTGCTTCGGGATCAAATTCAGTATATGCAAAAAACGTAAATGGAAGCTTTTTTGTTTATTATTCTAAAACGATGGCAAAGTGGTGTTTCCCCAAAGAAATGCCGTCAAACACTGTGCACGCCGTTCGTGGGGAAAAAACTGCGAAAACAAACAAAGGTAAATTCGAAAACTTCGCTACTACCCTGGCCGGTGATTTTTTGGGGCAGGGAAACTACCCACTACAACTAGGCCCTTAATTTCCTTTGATACGCCGCCCCCCCCCCCGCCTTCCCCCTGGCGTAAATTCATGCGCACAATGCGCTCGATCCCCACGTAACAGTGGCGGGGCGAACCGAGATCCTTCATAAATCCAAAAGAAAAATGGAAAATCAAAGCGAAATACGTTACTATCTCAGCAATTCGTCTGTTGGATTTCACACATGTCCCGCGTTGTTGGACTTTCTTAAGAATGTCAATTGATACCTAATCCCCCCAGGCCTGAAAACGATACACTGAGCTAAGTAGAAAGTGAATCAGATTAAAATTTAAACTTGAGTAATTCATTCTAGTCCAATGGAAGAGTCATTAGGAAGTGAAACAATCAAAACAAACTAGCGTTCCAAAACAGCCTGGGAACACTGAAGAATTGTAAAAACATCTTCACATTGGCAAAATTTCGACCAGTTTCAGCGACCTAGATAAAAGCTTTGAAAACGAGTTTACGAGATCTTGTCCGTGAGTGATCCAGATCGTTCTCTCTTCCAGGGTTTCACGGGCCCCTCGTTGCTCAAGTTCAAACAGCACTCGCCCATCCTTCGGTAAACCAGAAGGACGTGCTTCCCACACCTGAAACCAATTCAAGCTTATTCACGACAGAACAGCCCGGTTTATAATGAACTTCCTCAATTATAAGTAGTATGAATGCCCCCCTCCTGTATTGCAACATATGTGCCCATAATCACAAATTCAATTTCATATGGGTAGGTGTCATGTTTGGCCTATAGATTCCCGCCGAATGTCATTACCACTTCTTCTAAAGGCGTTTAGGCGTAGATGGTGTAATGGCAAAAGCCATGCGCAGCACGAGGGCAGTCAGGGGATCAGCTCTCGAACGGCTCTCTCTCCTGAGCCACACTGAGTCCGTCCGTCCCTTCTGGACGGAAAAATGGAATCAGATTTCTTTGAGAGGATGAGAGCACTTATTTGTACATCGGATGGTCTTCGCAAGTCATTAGACAGGTCACTTCGCATTCAGTAAGCCACTACGATTCCGGATGTGGGCAGAATGCTCTGCGCATCCCCATTAGACATCGATCAACGGCCAACACTTTGACCAAATCCTCGCTCCGAGAATTTGAAATCTTTCCCTATTAAATAATCGCTCTTACATGAATGTTCGCATCAGGAACCCAAATGATTTAACATGGAAATGTCTGGTGTCAAGTCAACCGGATAAGAAATAGCCGTTTTCTTTGTGCGTCGTCACAACGTGAAATTCAGGTCCTGCACACTCTCGCTCAGAAAAGAAGGATAACGTCTGCGCGTTAATCAGTCCTTGTTGCGATGGGCTCATTTTAGTCTCCACTCTACAAAGGCTTTAATTTAAATGAGATGCTGCACAGACAATGACTTGCGGAGGGAAGCCACCCGATGTACAATTCAGTGTTCTTATCCTCCCAGACGAATCTGGCACAATTTATTGTCCCCAAGATGAGGAGGTTTGGTTGTGCTAGCCAGTAAAGGCGGGGTTTTTTTATTTTTTTATTTTTTTTTTTTTTTTTTTTTTTTTTTTTTTTTTTTTTTTTTACCCGCGGACCAATTTGCGCATGATAACCATGGCCACCTGTCACTACACCGCCTTCTTCACGACAGTTAAAAGATGGCTAGATAAATACGAAAAAATACACAATAATATCCAACAAACTCACTTGGCCGATATCCAGTACAACTGCATCTCTGGACTCTATCAGCCAATAAAGAAAGAACCCGTATTCGTCAATTCTCACATGGGCATTGACTTCCAGTTGTGTGCTCTCCTAAACCAGAAATGTTAACTAACGAAAGCAGGAACGCTTCCGTCTAAGTTACCACAATAAACAGTTTAACATAAGTATTCAGGTTACCCAGCCATCTCAATCATCATAAAAATCAACGATTTCTGTCAGCTACTGAGCCTGATTTGCTTCCCATCGCTTTTCTTAATGGCTTACGTGTAAAATGGACTAGTTTGACTTTCTCTGGTAATTACGCGGCACTATTACAGTGCTTATGAAATGAATATATACACAAAAGGAAGTACCCAAAGAAAGTAGCCGAACCTAACGTGCGACTGGCTAGGGGAGGGGGTTGTTGGCATAACAAATTAGGATATGCTCCCCATTATCCTGAAGACATTAAGAAGAGAATTCGTGTATTTGCTAAAGCGGTGAAATGGATGCCAGTCAAAACGTTTGTAGAAACGTACTTGCCAAGTCTCCTTGTAAATAATACTTTCCTGTCAACTCTTGGTTAAATAACAGCAGAAGCGCAAGATCCCCCCCCCTTAGCCTAACTGCAGCAATAAGCTTTTTCACATTTCCCCACGAACATACCTTACGGATAGACTCACAACTCTGCTGATCTTTCCCACATACTCATAAGATCCGACAAGAAAATCCACGGGTGTGGGAAAAGGTCGCGGAGGAACACAAATGGGAACGAAAAGTTGGTTTCTAATAGACAGTTCAAGAGAAAGTGGCTACCTATCCTCTTTATAACTCGTATGCTGAAAAAAAAATGAGATAAACGGAACTCACGTCATCGTAACGATCAAAAACGGAGCCATGTTGGAGCAAACTAGGCACGTTTGGGCGCCAGTTGAATTGGAACTCCTTGGCCATTTGGCCTCTTTTCTTTTAGTGCACTCTGAAGCCCGGCCAGCTTACTCTCGCAATACCATCGCACGGTTCTGGAAATGAAAAGATTGATGCATTCAGTACAAAAAAATTGAAGAGCGACTTTGAGAAAACAATATGAGACGCTGTTCGGCTTAGGGGGAGGTCGCATTCTGTACTATTACCAGTTTCTTTCCTACTTCACATTGACCAACAGGTCTCACCTTGGTAAAACCTGTAAAATCCCATGAAGCCGCGAAATGACATGTTGTCACGCAGGCCACAGGAACTTACAGGTTTTCAAAATGTGCCATGTATAAGTCGCGCTGACAGCGTATGCCCCCACGAAGCCGAATCGCGCCCAGTTCGATCACGACAACGAAGCTACATATGATCTGACAAAACGTAAAATGAAAAGAAGACGTCACTGAAACCAGAAAATAATGAAAGGATTTCACATACAATTAACAGCACACGTTCATTCGGCAGAGCAATGAAAAATATTGAAAAACTCGGAATCCCACGAAAAATCGAATGGAGAGTTTCAATGAAACGCAGTATTAACAAAAGGCGTGAAAATCAGTATAAAATTAAAAGCAGCATGTTCCGGCTCTTTGTCCAGTGTTGGAAATGGATGGCAGGATTTTGGGGCGTCAGATGATTAGAACCTGCCCAAGTTAGGGGCCTGAATGCGCGTTTGGACGCAGGGCACAATCAGCTGTTGTGAGGAATCCCCTGAACAGGGGAGGGCCGTAAGTTGGCCGCCAGGGGAGAGGGGGGGGTAGTAGTGAATGCGGCAGCCAGTAACGAGCAGCGCAAACTGTCAATGTGCTGAGCCCTTGTACAACGAAACTTGCTTTGTAGAGAACTCGGATATGCAAAAATAGTACAAAACTTTCATTCATCAAACTAATCCGAAATAACTTACTTGCAAATAACTTAAATAAGTCGACATTATCGTCGTAAGGTCCCGTTGGTGAACTAAAGTCAGTAACAGGGACTTTAAACTCTGGTTCGCTGGCCAATGACTATGGCGTATGTCGGCGTCTCGGCGCTTTGGCGCTGGAGGCGCCACAGTCCGCTTTTCCTCGACAAGCGACAGGACTTACTCATATGTTCATGTCAGCACGTTTTCCAAGCGATGTTGTGCTCTCTTTTCGGAAGTCAGCTAGATTGGCGGAGCACGCGAATCTGCAGCGTTGACAGGGCATGTTCCAATCGAGGAGGCCAACGGAAACACTGTAAACAAGTGCACAGGCTCGCCATGGACCTCCCTGAACCTTATAGACACATTTGCTCGCGTGAACAGACATTACGCACAAGTTGCACCATCCCTACCTCTGGCCTCTGCGCGGCCCCTCAGTGCGCGGCGCATCCAAAGTTGGCGTGATCGGCGCTAAACGAACCATATCCTGCTCCTGCTCCACCACAGGATACGTTCTACATGCGTTCCTGGCTATTCGAACACGCTCACTTGAACGGTACACAGGAAACGGGTTTTTCGCGCAGCTGGGAGTCGTTTCGCTCAAGAGATGAATCGCCCAATAGGCGAGATCTCATGAATCCCGAAAGCTTCAAAACAGTTCAAGAGGTTTTTAGAAAGAGAAAATCTTCAAACACTCGAAACCATTCTCAGATTTGTGAAATCGTTAGTTATCAAAAAAAGTACTATTGATTCAGAAACGCGTGTTTCGGATTGAAACCATCCCTCAACGAACATCTCCTATGGCAGATTCTTCTCTGTGAACTTTTTGCGACCTTCATAAACGTTCAGTACATTTAGGAAGTGCAATCCTTCCTCTACACGAATACGGTCTCCTCTTCCCCACAGGTCCGCTTTTGAGGAAGTTATGGTCCTTCAAAGACACCCACAGCCCACCTTTGTTGCCTGAAAAATTCTCGCTCCATGGCTACAATGATTGCCGGAACGATCTGTCGTCATCTATCTGCAATTACATGCGCGTTACTGCTTTACCGGTACGTGCCAAATAATCGGGGTAATGCATTTTTACGGCGGTTGTGTCAATACGTGACGAGTGAGGACGAACTAACTTCTCTTTTCCTCGTCTCCCAATCTCTAGAATAGACGTTGTTAACACTGTGGTCGCTGATGGCCGCTCCCAGAGAGGGAGTCCACGTCAGGTTAACGAATGCTCATTGAATTTAATCGCGATATATCGTTATTATTACCATGTGTGTTCAAAACGTCTGCGCATTCGAAGGAAGTGCATCAATAAGCGAGTTCTCTCATAAGTAAGATTGTAACCGTTTTTTGTGTTTGGCAATCATCTCTGGTATTGCTTCTATTTATCGTCGATGACTTTCAAGTCGTCATGTTTATGTGGGCACCTCAATGACAAGTAGAAAGATTTCATAGTGGCGTTTCATCAGTTTGCATGTTGAGGCGAAAAGAAAACCCGAACGGGATGGTTGGCAAAAAAAGGTGGGGGGCGGGTCGTACCGAACCTGGGTCCTGCCCACAAAACAAGGCGGGGGGGGCGTACATGGCTCCGAAGCCACAAATCCCCATCGAATGCTGTGCCCTGGTTTGGATCCAGCAACGTCGCAACCCGAGCCTCATTTTTTAAATTGCTCTAAAAGTTACCTAAATGCCGCCTAAATATACTTGTTAATGTAGGGGTAGTTTACTCCTGATAGTACTGAAAATATGACATTCAACTTCTTGTCCGCTGCGGCGGCTATATGGATGACACTACATTTCCGCGCTCCGCTAAAGGCTGGCCAAGAGGTAAATGTACGTGTCCATCCCTTGCCGGCCAGCTGCCAAAGAATGAGTGTCAGTGAAATTGGTAATCGAGCGATGGGCAAAATAACCCTTGTGTACATATTTCAAGCGGGTTTCGTGCGACTTAGTAATTAAAAAAGTGAAGGCTCGGTGCCGAAGTTGCTGGCGATGTCCTGAAACGGGCCATTAACCCGCCCAAGTCTATGAACTGGACGAAAATAAGAGGGAAGAGAAGAAAGAAAGGGAAATAGGAAAAGAAGGAGAGAGAGGGGCGGTGAGAGAGAGTGAACGAAGAAGGGGTCCGCAGTCGAGCAAGGTTAATCCCCGATACCCACACGCCAGTTCATATTGTGTAAGCAGTGTTCTAAGTAGTTGGAGGGGGAACCAGCACTGGACAGGAGGGCGACCAGTCTAGTTATCTGCCCCCAGTCTCTTCTCACTGAGGTGAAGATCCTTGGCGATTGGTGATGAAGAACGCGCAAAGGTTGTCGAAACCATTAGAGGGAGCAAAGTTCTTCGCGATTCACCGATCAAATCGCTTGGCGATCTGCAGGCAAATCTCACGGCGATCGCATCGCGAAGTAAGAACTGGCCGGCTGAGCAAGGAATGATGAACGCTACAAAAATCGATGACAGAACCGCGGCTCCGTCGCGTAATCATACTTGGGCGTCACGCGACTTACCAGGCTAAGGCTGCAAGTAAAAAAATCTAGCTCTTCTGAAAAATTAAAGTGAAGCGAAAACTCCCTAGGGAAGTGTTCCCCCAACGCCCAAGGGGTTTTTGATTCAATTGAATAAGCGTTGACCCCTGATCGAGCTCTAACTTTGCTCCCAGAAATCCACACACTCATATAATTATGAGGAGCCATTTTCTGTTACAACGTGGAAAGGCACACGAAAACAAACAGACCGCAGCGATCGAATGTGGGTGGAAAGGTCGTAAACGAATGAATAGGACTGATAAGAGCTCGATAAATGCAAAGCGCAAGGGAGGAGGGAGGGGGCATTTCAGCTTATCAGGGTCATAAACGTGGAAAGTCAGCGTTTGCAGACATAACACAATAAGTTCCACGCAAAAGCCTGGACCTGGTTCAACAACGGTGTGGGAAGCCGAGCACGTCATACATAGGGGATCCAAGCGAGGGGGTCCGTATTGGCCGCTGGACAGGGAGGGAGAAGCCGGTTGTCTTCAGGGAAAGTTTTCTGATTCCATCCACCGGTTTTCCTCTCCAGCGTGTGCGTTGTATAGCCGCCCCTCTCTCAGACTGGCAGTCAGTTTTTGCGAATGAAAGGAGGCGAATTTTTGAGGGGAAGGAGGGCGAGAGAAAGGAGGGAATTTTGAGGGGAAGGAGGGGCGATGTGTGTGGGGAGGGGTATCGTGTTCTGCAAAATTTTTCTTCAATGGCAGGACGTGCCTTTATGTTACTCTAGGGACTCCCGCTCCAACTTCTCCACACCCAAATCCGTGTACTCATAGCCCATATCTGAGGGCAGAAGGGGGTTATCAAGCATAGTTGCCAGCATGGCGTCGTGTCCGGTCCAGACGGAACGGAGGTAGGGATGTAGAAAGAGAGTCGGAGCAAGAATACGTTGTCGATTCGCAACTATGTATGCACTTGGGCAAGCCCCCTTTCTCGTCTGATATGGATCGTATTAACTGCAGCACGATGACATTAGATATCCCTCCTAATCCCTGCTAGGTCATGGATCACCCAAGCCTTGTGCAACACCCTGCCATTACAATAACGAGAGGGGTCAGGAAGGCAAAGTGGGGCAGCCACAATGAAACTCGCCCAGGCCAAGCATTCCATTCCTCTCCCTCCCGATTCCTCGCTCATGTGACCCACTCGGGAAGACAAAAGCATGTACTTTGGCAAAGGCAGGACCAGCTGCTCATACGTCAATACATCTTCGGATGCCAGTGCAGTTCTGGTTGGCAGTCAGATACATGGCCTAATCAACGCCAAGCATTTCCTCCTTTTTAAGTTTCTAGGGGGAAGGGGTAAGAGCACAGTGAATGGGAGGCAAAACGAGGAAACCTAGATTAGAACAAGTAGGTGTGTGGGGGGAGGGGGGAGGGGTGGAGAGGAAGAGGAGGAAAGGACATGCATTGTACCTAAAATGAAGAAGGAGCAGAAACTTCTTTTCCGGAAGAACGAGCAGAAAATTCTTTTCTGTCCCAAGAATCTCCCGAACATTCCCATCATTGCACCCTCCTCTAGACAGCCCAAATACGCCTCTGCCTTTCCCTAGATCCCCT